TCTCTGTGTTGGAAATCATCTCCTTTTTTTCTTTTCCCCCTGCTCTATACACAGCATTACTCAGAAACAAGCCAAATCCCTTCCAATTATGTATCATGACGTTTCCCCAGCGCTGCACTAAAGCAAGGCCCTTCACTTCTAAATGGCATGGTTTATAACAAATTGTCTGTTATACCAGACAGAAACTGATTTCCTCAAACCCAGCATATTAAAGTGAGTACATTCATTCTGGTTGTAACACACAAAATGTGATTATAACAGACACTTTGGGGGCTTTTTAAGGCTAGCAGAGAAGAGGAGGATAAGCTGGAGGGGAAGAAAGAATTGACAAGTAGAGAAATGACAGAGAAAGAGAAACAGCCACGCTGATTTCATTTCTGACAAAACAAAAATCTTTGTGTGTTGTAGAAATGTGCTTTAGTTAACACCATCAGATAGCCAGAGCAAAAGCTGCCGGTGCTGCCTGAAACGAAAATTGCTCTATTGTGCTTAGAAAACCATTTCCCACAGTGAGGAGAACACTTTCCAGGTAGTACAAAGCAGATCTGAAACTAACAGGGCCTTATCCTGCAACTCTTGCTCCCTCAAATAATCCCTGCAGCCACGAGGAGCCCAAACTAAATCAGTGTGAGTGAGGATTACACAGGAGTGTATCAAGGTTGGGGGATTAGGCTGGGATTATCACTAAAACCAGTAATTCCCCATCTTACTGATGGTGGCCATCAGCTCAGGAGGCGGCAGATCACCATGACCCCCCCGGCTCCAGATCCAGGTCTGGGAGCCACCGGGTGTGTGAGTCCCTGGAGGACTCGGGTCCTGTTGGGTCAGGGGCTGCTCCATCTTGACCCACTTCTCCAGTGGGACCTACCAAAGCAGCACCAGAGCAAGGCCATGACTGATCCACACACTGCTTACAATGTAATGTCAGCACTGCTGCTTCCCTTCCCCAACACTGACACGACGGAGCCATCCCAGACCCCCAGCAAGAGTCAGTAAAGAACCTCCTTGCTAATTCCACCTTTGCACATCCAGTCTGGCAAAGAAGGCTCGCCCACTCCCATTCCACACCTCCTCGCCTCTCCCATGCCAGGTCCTGCCTGGGACTGGCCACCACAGTGGCCCCAGGGGAGACCAAGGGGCAGAGCAAGCTGCCATGCCCCAGGGTATATTCCCCAACCCGGGACAGCAAACAATGCTTTGGCACCGTTTCCCACAGTGGTGCAGATTTGGGATGTAAAACTGTCTCTGAAACACAGATGCAGCCATTACACACACACTGTTTACTTTTTAAACCCTGAAGTCAAAATCCAGGCATGTTAAGTGTTACCCAAGGGTGGCTGCTCTACATGCAAGTCGCGTTCCCGGGATCCTAAAAGGCTCGGCATTCAGACCGCTTTCCACACTACCCCAATGCAACATGCATTTTTATCAAGGAAGCTGCCTAATGGCTCCTATTAATTTTGATTTTTAATCTCCTGGTGCAAGTCCCAGCAATATACATGCAAAACCTGACAACAAGCCCTTTTGGTTTCAAAACTGACTTCTCCTCCAGCTCAGAAGGAAGATAAAAAAGAGCCCTTGGCAGCAGCAAAGCCTCTGACCGGCAATGCCCTTGCAGCTCCAACATGTCCCACTCTCCCTCCTGTAAAACAACTCAAAACACTAACGGGGGCCAAGCCTCCCGCTGTCAGTCAGGATCAGCAGAGCTACTCACAAACACTTTTTGCCATCACTGCCTACAGCCACAAGGATGCTCAAAGACTGCAGGCAGGCATTCCCAAGGGGTATCCCAGCATCCAAGGGACCACTGAACCCCAGCAGGGCCAGAACACCCCAGGATAACCCCCACTGCCTCCCAATGCTCTCTTGGAAGCCGTGCCCTGGCACAAGCAGAGCCAGCAGCTGAGCCTGACCCCACCCAAAGGGAAAAGCTTATTAAGGGTGGTTTCAAACTTCTTTTGCATTCTCAGAGTGGGACTGCAGCCCAAGACACTAGTGTTAATCCTTCCTAGATCAGCAGGGAAAAGGTGGGGAGCACCAACAAACCCAATTACTGCCAGCACAAGCACAGCACCACCAGTCCTGAGACCTGCCACCGCACGGGAAGAAACATTTCCTGAAGCTCCACAAACAAGCCATCCTTGGGGACTTTTATTTCAAGGTGCCTGGCTGTTAAACTAAATGAGCCTCACACTAAAGACCAGCTACATCACAAATCCACCGCTGCTGGGGCAGTGCATGTCTGCAGAAGCAATCACTTACCCCCAGCCACAACCATCATATGCTAAGTGACACTGCCAGCAACACATTTACCTCCGCATTTTATCTGTTATCAACTGATGCTTTGCCTTCCCATCGGGAAAAGTCACTCCTAGGTGGAGCAGCAGTGATATCTTCCCGATGCTGACACCTCATAAAGGTTCCCAGGGGAAATGCCAGCGGCTTCATCACTGGAGGAGATTCAAACCAGCCCCGACAAAGTGCCACTGGATGATGTGCAGAGAATGGTTTGGCTCTGGAAGCTCTGGGCAGGAGCTGTGTTTATTAAATCCTCATCACCCGGAGGTGTACCAATAGCACACTGCACAGCCACAGCATCACACCGCAGCGCCTGCCACGGCAGCGATGGGCTGCGGGGGGTGAAAGGCTGTGATGGTCTTACATGGAAGCATCTTTTATGGAGTTCCCATGTCACCCTGTGTGCTAGGACAGGGCTCTCACTCTAGTCACTACTGAACCTCCTCATCCTCAGTGGGTCACTGGGATTTTTAGAAGCCAGTAGAACCCACACCTCCAGCGCAATAACTTCCCCAGCAACAGCTGGAAGCATAACACTGGGACTCTGCCAAAAAAATAAACATTCCCACCCTAAACCAAACTTCCAAACAGCTTCCAGCTGGGATTTCTCCTCCCCTTGCCCTGGCCCTGCCCTTTTGTCCAAAAGCACCCCCAGGGAGCGAGCAGACCCCCACCAGGACATGCTTCTCTCACCCAAGAGCTGCTGGTCCCTTTGCAGGACGGGTGAGCCACCCTCTGCCCTCCTGCTGTTTTGCTGACACTCCAGGGCACTTATTACAAGAGACAAACTTCTTTCTCCAGGCGAGGTATCGGCTTTTTGCAGCGCATCCCACCTGCCTGAGGGAAATGGGGTGAGCTGGAGCCACAGGGAGAGACAACAACTGTCCCAGGTCCCTCACATGAGGCTGGACAAAGCAGGGGAGTCTCTGGAGGGCACATTCCATGCGACCCCAGGCTATCTGCTGTGTGGAGGAAAAGCATGGGCAGCACTGCCTTCTGCCTGCAGCTGGCTGTTAACTTTATCAGCTGAGCTATAATGTTCCTGATGGTCCTTCCCTCCTCCCCGCCACCACAGACCTCCCACTGCTGGCATGCACTTCTGGATAGTGCCAACATGTGATGGATTTTATGACTGGTGGCAGTGAATCAGAGGCTGACAAGATGTTCCAGTGCTCAGTGCCCATAGCAAGGCACCAGCCAGAGATGCACACCAGAACCCTCTCCAAAGGACACTGCTCCAGGAAGGCAGGAATTCCTCAGGGACTGCTACCCCCAGCATCCCAACAGCGGTGCTCACCCACAACCTTGGGATGCAAACCCAGGCAGCTGGGCACCCTGAGCCCCAGTTGGTATTCAGCAAAGAGCACAGGCAAATCTGAGCATCAGTGGAGACCCCCTAATACATGAAGGGTGGTATTTCCCACTCCTAGCCCACCCAGGCACAGCACAAGGAGCTGGTGGATTCATTAGCAGCTCTTCTGACTCATTTTACCAGAGACTGGCTTATCCCAAACTGCTCCCATCCAGACTCAGATGCCAAGTCCCTGCCTCTACCCATCAGGGCATTTGGGAGCAGAAATGCCTACACAGCTCTGTGGCTGAAAACATGCAAGAAGAGTATACAAGTGCTTATATCCAGATCATTCCCATAGAGCAAGTGCCCAAAACTGGGCCAACACCAGACCACAGCCTCTCAAGAGCTGGTTCTGTATGGCCTCAGCAGAGCTCAATGAGCATTTTGCCAATGCAGCCACACAGTACCAGGCCAGCAGCACCAGCCCTCTCCAGCAGCCCTGCAGACTCTCACAGAGGGCCAGGCTCTGCCCCCCATAGCACCAGGATGAATCTGAAGCAGCTCCACCGACTTCAGCAGCATCGTTTTGCATTTACACCAGCACACAACACAAAACAGAGCAAGCCATAAATATTTCAACTGCTTTTTCAGCTTTGTTATCCTGTTCAAAGCAGGAAACATGACAAACCTTTGATTGTTTTGCTTAATACGAAACAATAACTCAAAGAGAGACAAACAAGCAACATTAAATGATGCCTGTGATGTACAGGAAAGCCAAAGAATTAGAAGAAACTGATGAGGATGGAGTGGATCAGAGTGGCCCCTTTCCCTGCCTTCGGCAGGTACCACACATCCCTCCCATGCCAGCAAGGGTCCTGCATGGTGAGGGAACAGCACTGGGCCAGGTGTACAGGTGATCCCACTGGGGCATCCTGTGCTGTCTGCATCCCCAGCACAACCAGCTGCCTCCAGAGCAACAGCCACCAACACCACTTTCAACAGCCTTTTAAGAAAACTGCTGTGAAGGCAACGAGTGTCTCCTGCCTTGAGCATTGCCACACTCAAAATCCACCTGCAAAGCAGCCACCTCCTGCCTTGAGGCAGTCTGGCCTGGCCCATCCCCACCCAGGCCCTTCTCTCCAGCGTCTGGGGGTGAAACATCCGCCCATAACCACACATCGGGGCTGCCCCAGAACCCACAAGGCGGGTACCTGCTGCTCCCCCCGTCCATCCTCCATCACTCCCATGCCCTGGGGTGTCCAGCACACAGAAACCACCACTGCCTGTTTGCTCCACACCTCGTTTTGGCAGCTCTTACACAAACAGACCCACGCTCCGCGCTCCGCGCAGCCCAGGCACAAACCCATTCCCGATGCTCCCAGGGCTTGGGCCGTCCACCTGCACTCACCTCTGGCAGCGGCATCCCGTTGATGATGAGGTCGGGCTGCTGGGGGCTCTGCCCCGTGAAGGTGTGATGGTAAATGTGGTTGGAGCCGGCGTTCCTGTTGTTCTGGCTCTCCACGTTGAGGAAGGTGCTTTCGGAGCGGCGGCAGCCCAGCGGCAGGGTCTGCTGGTGGTAGTCGAAGTAGTTGAGGGATGAAGTGAGAGAGGAGCAGCTCACAACGTTCATTTTATCTGTCTCCTCCACGTCCCGCGGTACCAGGCGGATATCATTCTTGCTGATCTTCTTCTTCTTGCTTGATTTCTTTTGATGCCCGTAGGAGTACTCTGCAATTCTGGGGGACAGAAAGAAAATGAGAAGCTGAGAGCATCCCAGATCCTGCCCCGCTAAATACACACGTGGAAACCCAGAGGGCTTGGCCCCCTTCTCCATGTAGGCTTCTTAGTCATGCACATTACGTCATGTTTTGGGTCTGGTGGCACGACATCGTCTTTAGCTTATTTTGGTATGTATGATGTTTTCAGGTCAAATACGAAAAATAATGGGAAGGAAGAATGCCTCCGTTTTATTCTAGTGTTTGTAATTGCTGATATTTAGTTACTAGGAGTAAAGTCCAGCCTAGAGAAGAGAAAATGGAGATGTTAAAAATCCATGAACTGAAAAGGGTACCTGCATTCATTTCCATGCGTAATAAGGATTTTAAAAGTGATTTAATTTGCTCCTTGTAATGAAAATTCAAAATGAATAGTGGATTTCTTTCCCAGTTCATCTTCCATAGCAGTAAATAAAGCAGACCCAGAAGCAGTCCTAGCTGGCAAGTTCTATTCTCTCACACTCCAAAGGCTGTTTGTTTATTAATGCTTTATATAAATTGCTGGTGTTTTGACTATCTCCTGATTATACCTGATAACTCGAAATCTTTTCTCCAGTCGAATCCCATTCTTCCCTCACCCCCTGACACACACATCCCCTTCTGCTGGGAAATGCTTTTACCTTCTGGAAATCAGATAACAACCACCGTGTTTTGCAAAGAGAAATTACGCTTTTTGACCTTTTTTTTTTTTTTACTGCACACTTGTTTTTCTCTGCCTCGCTTTCCCTCTTTGCTTCCCACCTGCCAAAAGAATCAACTGATGAAGTGCCTTGTTTGTGTTCTGCAAAACATCGGAGGAAAAAAGTTACTGCAAAACACCACCCAAGCAAATAATGACAAATTATTTGCACCTTGCATTAGCTGGGTATGCTGAGCTCAGACTGGCTGTGGCTCCTCTTTCTTTAGTGAGCAACAAAACAGTCCCTGCCATGAATTTGTACATGCACGGCATTGGGCAGCTCAGTATTTCCCAGGGAAGCACACAAATGCTAACCACAGTCAGAATACACATTTGAAAGTCAGGATTTTGCTCCTCTTCTTCTTATGATAACAGCATTAAAAAGAAAGGAAGAAAGAAAGAAAAAAACCCCAGTAGCTGCAACAGAAATAATGGGATGAATAAATAATATAGTTTATCTGGAAAGGCAAATATTAGATAAAGATTCTTGTTCCAGAAAGCTAATTGCCTGAGCATGAAAATGCCACCAAGTCAAAGAGCCCTCATATATGCCTCATAAATTAATGCATTTTTGAAGACTCTCCAGCAGCTCTTGTGAAGAATCTCTAAATCAAGGCACTGCAAAGCCTAAAGGCACGGGGAGAGGGTGCCCCATGGTCACAAGCCACTGCTGAGCCTGCCTGGTGCTCCCCCACCTCTGCAGCTGACTTCTGCTCAGACACACTGATAACAGCCCAAGCATCCTCCTGAGTGTGCAAATAAATCAGGGGAAGGCAGGGATTTCTGTTGTGCCAACAATCTATATGCTGCTGACTCGTCTAACAATGCTTGATGAAGCTTTAATTGTTTTGTTTACCTAAATGTTTAAGTTTGGCAAATGCGAGAGCCCAATTATTTCCTGCAGGCATTCATTTTGCTGTCCTTTCTCTATTGACCAATTATTTAATTAAACCGCACTTCATTAATCCCTAAGCCGTCACAGTAAACCCAGCGCTTATACATATGTGGGAAGCTGTTAGGGGCACCACCACAACATGATTTTTATCCATTCAGGTCCTATCCTCATTTAATGGGCCGAGCTGGCAAGAAATCTGGTCTGTGAGCTTTCACTTGAAGCTAGACATCCCATAATACAGCACAGACCGACCTTTATTTCCAGATGATTTTTCCCCCATCGAGCAAAAAGGCTTATATACGCACTTTACACTGTGAAAACGGGGTACAATACCCGAACTCTCCGGCATTATTTCTGCGTAAATAAAACTTTAAAGACCGCACATCCCCCCGCGCCGCTGAATTGCCAGGGCCGAGCGTGCGTTTCCAAGGTAGAGCAAAATTAATTTCCATCCTTCCCTTCTGAAACGACTCAGTGCCAAAGGAATGGAGAAGTCATGGCTATTTCACTAGTAACAGGATTAAACCATTTATGAGGCATTGCAGCTGCTCTTTTATGGCATCTGATTGATATTCATGTGTGGTTAGCATTTGTCTCCTAACTTGTGTAACACAGAGAATAGTAAAAGACAGACAATAATCGCCAGGCTGTTACATATTCAGGGGGACTGGATTTCCCCTATCAGCCTTTCAGTGGCTCCGGGCACGAGGCTGACCTCCCCGCCGGCATTTCGGACCCCGGAGCACGCATCCAGCCAGGGCAAAATGACACAGCACTGCAAAAATCCTCCCTCGCCCCATCGCTCTCAGCCCAGCCAGCCATGCCGGGTGCTGGAGCTGCGCATCGGGGACAACCGGCGGGGGGGGGGGGTGGCCACTATTTTATGCAGTTGGCCCCATCGCTGGCCGTGGCGTGGAGCCGCAGCGGGCGCACAATAGCTCTTTTGAGCGGCGAGCGAGGGCTTAGGGATGCCACCGCGCCGCTCGCACCGTCGGCTGCGGAGATGCTGCGGTGGCTGGGGGGATTCCCCCCATCACCAGCCCTCGGGAGCTGTGCTGGGGGTGGGGTGCTGCTCAGGGGAACCGGCCGTGCCCCCAGTAAAACCGTTCTCCCCGCTTCCTGCGACGGAGCGCGGAAAATCGGGGATGCTGCAACAGATTGTCAAGCCGCACAATTAAGTCGATTCGTTACTCGGCAGGGATTTCTCCTGCCCTCCTCCCAGGGAACAATTTTTTTAAGCTTCGCAGGAAATTCTCTTAGAGGGATGGAAACCTCACTTTTGTTCCTAAAGCAAATCTACCTCCCTCAACCCCAGATACGCAGCAGCAAATGCAAAAGTAACTGCGATGGCAAAAATCAAAGCAGACCCACAGGTGCACAGAAACAAATATGTCTTTACCTGCAGTTGTAGGTCCTGATTTCCTTGTTATCCCTTTTGCACTTAACTGCCACGAAGATCATGGTGACAAAAAGAATGGCTGCGATAGACCCCAGGGCAATAATGAAAATCAGGGAGAGGTTAACAGATCCTATGGACTCCTGGGCATCCAGGGCTGGAGACAGGTATATCAAAATTAAGGCAGAAGCCGAGAGAGATGTTTTCCCATGGTCATGAGCCACCACAATCAACTCGTAGGCTGTCTTGGCATTCTCCCCAAAGGCTCTGGTGGTCCTTATCTCTCCATTGACCTGGTCTATCTCAAAAAATCCTCTGTCTCCTTCCACCATTTCATAGGAAAGTCTGCCATTTTCACCCTCATCATAGTCATCTGCCTTGACCACTGTCACCAGGTAGCCAACCCCTGCATTCCTGGGGATGTACACCTCTGCCGTCCCGTTGACCAGCGGCGGGGCCGTGATCACAGGGGTGTTGTCATTGACATCCAGGACAATCACCCTGACAGTGGCATTGCTCTGCAGAGAGGGATTACCCCCATCTTTCGCCAAGACCTTGAACTCAAAGGCCTTTGTCTGTTCATGATTGAAGGACCTCAAAGCATAGATATCTCCAGAGTTGGGGTTGATGGAGACATAGGTGAAGACAGGCATGTCCCTGACTTGGGAGGGCACGATCTGGTAGGAGACACTGCCATTGAGGCCCAGGTCAGGGTCTCTGGCAGAGACTGAGAGGAGGTAGGCCCCTGGGGTGTTGTTCTCCTGCACGATAACCTGGTAATAGGGCTTGGAGAAGTGGGGATGGTTGTCATTCTCATCGGTGATCTTGACCGTGAAGGACTTGGTGGCCTGCAGGGAGGGGATACCATTGTCCCTGGCCTGGATGGTGAGGTTGTACTGGTCCCTCTGCTCCCGGTCCAGCCGCCCGTCAACCAGGATGGTGGAGAAGCTCTCGTACTCCTGGAGTCGAAAAGGCACATTGCCCAGGAGCTTGCACTGCACCCGCCCATTGGCCCCGGAGTCACGATCCGAGACCCGCACCAGGGCGATGACGTACCCCGGCGGGGCGTTCTCGCTCACCTCCACCAGCTCGCTGTTCACAGAGAGCAGGTTGATGAGGGGCGGGTTGTCGTTGGCATCCTGGACACTGATGGTCACTTTGCAGTGGGCAGGGATGGAGTTAGGCCCTAAGTCCTTGGCCTGCACATCCAGCTCATACACATGACCCTCCTCGTAGTCGATGGCACCGCTCACCGTGATGAGGCCGCTCTGGGGGTCGATTTGGAAGAGCTCCCGGGCCCGCTCTGAGACATAGCTGTGGAAAGAGTAGAGAACCTGGCCATTGGTACCCTCATCCGGGTCAGAGGCATTGAGCCGGATGACTGGGGTACCTGGTGGGGCATTTTCAGGCACACTGACTGTGTAGGCCGGCTCCTCAAAGAGCGGGTTGTTGTCATTGGAGTCGATGACACGGATGCTGAGCTCCACGGTGCCAAAGTTGGGTGGGTCACCACCATCCAGCGCTGTGATCACGTAGCTGTAGTGGGACTGGGTCTCACGGTCCAGGCTCTTCTCCACCACCAGCTCAGCAAAACGGGACCCATCACCCCTTGTCTTGGTCTCCAGCCCAAAGAGGTCATTGGGGGTGATCTCATAGCTCTGCACACCAAAGCTGCCCGAGTCCGGGTCATAGGCACTCTCCAGTGGCACCCGGGTACCAGGGCTGGCTGTCTCTGAGATCTCCAGCTCGATCTGGTCAGTGGGGAAGCTGGGCGCGTTGTCGTTGAGGTCCTTGATCTCCAGCTTGATCACGCAGATCTCCATGGAGCTGGACATCACCTCCAGTGAGATGACGCACTTGGGACTCTGTCGGCACAGCAGGTCCCGGTCAATCTTCTGCTTGGTTACCAGCAGCCCAGACCCGGGGCTGATGTCCACCAGGTGAGGGGCCGAGTTGGAGACCACCCTGAAAGCAGTGGGCTGCCGGGGGTCCAGCACGAACCCGGCGTCCCGGGCGTCCTTGGCGACGTTGGCGATCACCGTGCCGGCCCGCTGCTCCTCCTCCACCGAGTACTTGAGGTTGACGAGGGCCCCGGCGCCGGCCCACAGCAAGGCGGCCCCCAGCAGTGCCGGGAGAGCCCCCATCGCCGCGCCGCCC